CAATACTCGCCAGGAGCCACCCTCTTTCGGAAAGCCCCTCCCACAGCCGCGGGGTGGTTCTGAATGAGCTGGTGAACTTGCTGTGATGGCATTGTGGGAAACAGCAGCTCACCTGCTGACGGTGCTGCAGGTGCAGGTGGTGTAGGGAATCTCTTCCTGTTACAGGTGAGACCCTCTGTTGTGAAACAGGACATGCCTCTTATTCCACCTGCTATCAATGTCCCATCATGCCCCGGGGCAGCGTGAGGCGAATGATGTGGGCGGGGCTCAGACAAAGAGGTGGGTCTCAGGTTAACTGCAGGCGGCTGCAGCCGTGAGTACGCAGTGTGCTGTGGGATGTGTCCAGGGACATTCTGCACGTGCTCTGCCTCTCGTCTTAAATGCGACGGTCCTCCAGCATGCTGCGTCTTTAAACTCCACTCTGCAAAACGCTGGGCACCCGAGGCGGCAGGTAGATGGAAAATCACATTCATTTATAAATATGTTTTTTAATATTACATTTACTTAATGTGGCAGGTCAGCTGAGAGCTGGAATCTGTTCTGCAGCGGTGATTGGATTTCAGGGTACAGGTACAGCTGCTCAGGTGAGATTGGGATTGCTTGTTGACGAGATTTGGAGAGCCAGTTTTGTGCTGATTCTTTTGGCTGATCAGATACCCAAATCCATGACCTTGCAAAAGGAAGTTCTGTCTCCCTAATGCTGGAGCTGAAACATTTAAATCTGACGCATTCTTAGAAAATTTGCTGAGGGGCGTGGCCAAGTACAACACTGCTTCATTTGATGCTTCACCTAATACTGAGCTACAATGCAGTCCATCTAGAAACTTCTCTAGTTAGGAAGTAAAGGACTCTAAAGGAACACAGCATTAGAGTGCCTCAGGTGGTAAACAAGCTTCAGTTCTGCTTAGCTTCAGCAGTGTGACAGTAGAAGGGTACAGGGTGGTGTGGCTGCTTAGCTTCAGCAGTGTGACAGTAGAAGGGTACAGGGTGGTATGACTGCTTAGCTTCAGCAGTGTGACAGTAGACGGGTACAGGGTGGTGTGTGCTTAGCTGCAGCAGTGTGACAGTAGAAGGGTACAGGGTGGTATGGCTGCTTAGCTTCAGCAGTGTGACAGTTGAAGGGTGACAGGAAGTGGTGGTATGGCTGCTTGGCTTCAGCAGTGTGATAGTAGGAGGGTACAGGGTGGTGAGGCTGCTTAGCTTCAGCAGTGTGACAGTTGAAGGGTACAGGGTGGTATGGCTGCTTAGCTTCAGCAGTGTGACAGTAGGAGGGTACAGAGTGGTGAGGCTGCTTAGCTTCAGCAGTATGACAGTAGGAGGGTACAGAGTGGTGAGGCTGCTTAGCTTCAGCAGTGTGACAGTAGAAGGGTACAGGGTGGTGTGGCTGCTTGGCTTCAGCAGTGTGACAGTAGGAGGGTACAGGGTGGTATGGCTGCTTAGCTTCAGCAGTGTGACAGTTGAAGGGTACAGGGTGGTATGGCTGCTTAGCTTCAGCAGTGTGCAGACCTATTCTCTCTGACCTCACGTTTCCATGTCTCTTCCGCAGCCCTGCCTCCCGGATGTCCGAGCCGCAGCCCGACCAGCGGCCGTCCAGCATGGTCAGCGAGTCATCCACGGCCGTCACCTCCTCCACCGTGGACACCACGTCGGGGTCAAAGGTCAGAGCGTGGGAATGCCACACCTTCTCGAGTCCTCCTGGGGTAGCCTGGCTCTGCAGCAGACCACAGCACATCATCTCCATCATTCCCCTGTCTGTATGATATGCTGCACATTCATGAAAGAGTGTGGCAACCTACAGATCAGCATGCGTGACACTGCACACCCAAATGAGCACTTAGCAACTTCAGTGGAGTGGATTAGCCATGTGGTTGCGGTGGAAGATGAGTGCATAGTACTGACAGTTCTGTTTCACACATTTTCACCAATAGACTCCCATTCTTTTCAGATGTTAAAGCTAACATTGCTAGCCATTGGTGAATTTGCATTCCATGTTGGCAGTGAATTTACCCATGACTCTTTTGATACGCAGTGCTGATGTGTCGCATTGAGAGTTAAATGTAACAGGATTTGCATTGATTTTTGGGTGAACTATTGCCTTAGCGTTGGGCCAAAATGAAATGCATAATTTCCAAGGGTAATGGGGGTGGGTTATCATCTCTTTCTTGTTGGCAAAGCATTTTTACACCTCGATAAACACGTTCATTAACGTGGCTGCCCCCGCCCCCCCACTCCCTCTGGCCAGTGCGGTGTGACGGGTGATTTGGCTGAGTCAGATCGACGAGGGTGCTGATGGATGGCCAGGGGGCGGTTTCCCATGCGTCTGCCCCACCCCACCCCCACTAACGGGAACTTCCATTAAAACTCTGCCAAAGCGGGAGACGGGCCTCAAACACAAATGTAATCAGGCCTCTCCCCCGCGAGCAGGAGCCGGGAGGGGGAGGAGGGCTCGGGGTGAGTGAGGCTGTCCTTCCCCACACCTCCCTCAGAGTGCGGCCTGTTCATTGCTCTGGACAGCAGCGTACAGCCGACAGCATCCAACGCTCAAGTGCTTGGGCAAAGATACAGAGAAAGAAAAGAACACCAGAATGCCAACGGGAGAACAACGTGCACGATTTATAATACAGCTCAGAGTCACAGATCAGACCTGTTTAGTGCATCTAAAATAACAGCAAATGTCAGCATATTTAAAACTAAAAACTCTCATACTGATGGATAGGCTTTTATGAATCTTCTATGACTCTGCGCTGGAGGATGGGGAGTGTTCCATTAATGCTGCTCAAAACGCTCCAGGGTTTGTTTTGCTGTACGTGGAGGCCTGAATTCAATAAACATTTGTCTCCAACTTTGACTTACAAATACATTCAAACATTTGTTTTTCTTTTTCTTCAAAAGCAACAAAAAATTTCTGTCTACTAATTTTGTATTTTTGGAGAAAACATTGCAATTCAGCCTGAATCCAGTCAAAATTTACTTTTTACTTTTGGCTCAAAATTAAATAATGCCGTTCTGTTTCTCCTTCACAAACACAGTTTGGCAAGCTCAGGACCAGATCCAAATCCCTAAACAGTGTTTGTATCATAAAAAAGTCTTAACTTTTAATGTGATTTCTTTTCATATGTCATAGTCAGTTGACAAGTGTCGATTGAATCCTGGCCAAAGTTAAGGATGAATGTTGATTGAATGTTGGCCATCCCTCAGGCCTGGGTCTCCTCTCCATTGAGCTGTGCTGTGAAAAGTGTGGAGCAATAGTGCAATAGACTGTTCCAGATTTACTCTCCCTGTCTAGCGGTGGTCCCTGGTCCCTTTTCCGCTAGCTGAGGCTGAGGTTTTAGATCACCTGGTCACCTGGGAGGTGACCTGCCTGCACGCCCACCCCCTCCCCGCCTTTCACTGCTCTGTCGCGCACCTTGCCACATGCCAGGCTGGGTGATTGACAGGCCAGCGTTCGCGGAATCCCAGCTCTTCGAGCAGCAGCTCACTCCCCACTCCCGCCGAAGCGAAGCGCTGTGGGTCCCCCGTCAGGAGACGGCCCGGACTTTGATTAAATAACGGCCGAACTACGCGAGAGCCCATCCGTCATTCTGCCTCCTTCATTACCGTCCGGCGGGCGGCGAGGCTGTCTCGCTCCGCGCTTCAAACAGCAGCAATTAAACGCCCATCATCGTGTGCTTCTTACCCAGCAAGCTAATGCGTTATGCAGCTGTGAATTTAATAACACAGATCTTTATCTTCTGACGCTGTATTACTTTCCTGGGCAGTTGTGCATGCGTTTGTGCCCTCTGGGGCTTAGCAGTGTTTGAGCGGTGATCCTGTCGCTGAGGGAAAAGGCTCTTTCTCTGACTGTAATGCAGTTCTGCTAACATGGTTCTGCTTGCACCGCTGTGGAATTTGCCTTCCAGGAGGAATGAACACTTTCTGTGTTTTATGGGTGATGCACAGGGTTCGAGGGTGATTTACACCTCAGAAACCAGCCAATCAGGTTAGGCGCAGGGCTGTCACTGGAGTTGGATTACTGGGTGAAACCTGCAGCATTTTTGTCATCATTGTTGGGGAAAAAAACTGCTGGCAGGTCTTTGAGACTGAAAAACCAATTACAGAAATGAGAAAGAAAGCTGGTAATAACAGGTTATACTGTATAGAACAGTGTCCTGCAGCCATTTAGCTGTATTTTGAGCGCAGAGGATATTTTTTCCACGCTACAGGAAACGGAACGTAACGCTGGCAGCTCTCCCTTTCTGGCATCCTGTCTGCCCGCATTCTTCCACACGCTCAGCGCGCCTCAGTAGCACCAACAATTATCTTTAAACTGCCTTCAGAGCCCAACAATTAGACAGCAGATTTCCCAATGATAAGCTTGCTTCGTTAGTCACTCGTCATAATTAGCATGTGCGTTTCCTGCCAGCTGCGGACGAGCTTCGCTGCCTGCACCAGGAAGTAGCCAATAACGAGCCTGCGATGAGCGCATGACTGATCTGAATGTGACACTTCAACCCAGATGAATCATGCTGAAATATGAATCATATTTTCAGTTCTGTTCATCTGTAGGATGCAGAAAGAAGATGTGGAGTAAAATCCATGGTTTTGTTATTTATGTCTTTCGAATAATTATATTATTTCATCACCTGATGTGACTCTTGTGTGTGTGATGGCGATTTTATTGCGCCTTTCATTCATTTGCATGTGGATCAAAGTTAATTGAATCGGCTTTGATCTGTGATTTGTGTTTGGTTTGAAGAACAGGACTTAATTAAGCGATGAAAGAGCTCAACGACGCGGCGCAAGAACAACAACACGAACGCCAGTACGAGCTTGCAAACGCTCCAAATCCAACATCAAACAGACTGTCCTGTTGCTCCCTCTGTACAGACTTTAAAGAGCTCATTTACAAGCTGTGGAACGAGTTTAGATGTACAGTGTGACAGCAAAATGCTCCAACTTCATTTAACTTTGGGTGTATGAGTATGCACTTTTAATGAAATATGTTGTATATGGTGGGTGTGGGGCCAGTGGTGTAGGTGGTGAAAGTTCTGGGCTTGTAACCCAGTGGTTGCAGGTTTGATTCCCAGGAAGGTTCCTTACTTTGTTTGTTGTAATTCTGTCAGGATCCTCCTACATAAATGGGCAGTTTAAACAGATGAAACTCCTTAAATCACTGTGTTCAGACAATGTGCTAGATGCATATAGTGTGGAGTAGTGATGGAACACTGAATACGTCTCTGCACACCACATCACATTTTGGCGGGTGCTTTGCTCATCCCCCCTATTTTCAGAGAGAGGAGAGGAATAGTTTGGACTGATGAGTGGGTGTCTTGTTTTAGACTGGCATGAATGGGCACCGAGGTGCCATCCCCTCCCCACCCTGTCCTCTTGGCTAGCCTGGCAGATGTAGCACGTTAGCGGGTGATAAATGAATCAGCCTCGTTATCAGCTTGCTGTGTCTGTGTTTCGCAGGGTTCCAGGTCCAGCGGAAAGGTGCACAGTTTTGGGAAGAGGGACCAGGCCATCAAAAGGAACCTCAATGTGCCTGTGGTGGTGAGGGGGTGGCTCTATAAACAGGTGAGGCCCCTCCCCCAGCTGTCAATCACTGTCAAGGGAGTAGGGTTGGCCCTGTGATTGGCTGACTGGGAGGCTGTCTTTTAACTACTTTAAGTGAGTCTCCAGGAATTTGAAGTTGATCAATATTTTATTAGCAAAGCATAATTAGGCACCTGGCTCATTTCCCCATAAGCACTATAATCCATAACATTACATTAATTGCTTAGCATTTAAAATGTAACAACAACTTTATAAGCAATAGTACATCAATTCCAGGGGTGAAGTTTGATAGTAAGAATATGATCACAGAGACATTATTCTCTGGGGAGATGACACACTCTCTGATACTTCCTGGTCTTACTGGAGAGATCTGGTCACTGTCTATTGGGTACTTCCTGTAAGGAGTGTCAAAGATGGGTCTTTATTTATGTGACAGGGTGCTTGAGGAGTTTTAGTGTTAATGAGTCAGGGCTGGTGTGAAGGAGGGAAGGTGTAAAACAGCACAAAGTATTTCAGTCGCCTGATGAGTGTGGTGTAGACTGGGTTCAGGTGAAGAAGCCAGACTACGGAGTGTGTAACTGTCTTACATATGACGGGTTAGTGCCCGTAAGGACTGCAGAAACTCTCATATGCACATACATACGCACACACACACGCGCACACACACACACACACACACACACTTGAATGCAAATGTGCACACAGATACACACACACACATGTTCTCCCTTTCACACACACAACCGTAGGCAGTTACTCACACTCACACACTCACACACACTCCCTTTCGAGCACACACGCACAGGGCATGTCACTTTTTATATTAGTTCCTGACACGGTCATACTCCAGGTCTCTATTAGACTGGCTGGGTGCAGAGAGAGTACTGAGCACTAATGAAACCTAAAGAACGGCTGGAATGAGAAAGAGGGAGAATTCCCAGCCAGGCACATCCATTATGCATGTAATGAGGGAAAGAAATTACAATGAGCCAAGATAATCACACAGGCAGCAATGATCTGCCCAGAGCCTGCTCAGGCCAGCTCATTCCTCTGCTAGCGCTAACGCTAAAACAGCATAAAGCAATGGCAGGCTCAGGGGGCTAAAAATATGTGTGTGTGTGTGTGTGTGTGTGTGTGTGTGTGTATGGTGTGGGTGTGTGTGTGTGTGTGCGTGTCTGTGTGTGTGTGTGTGTGTATGGTGTGGGTGTGTGTGTGTGTGTGCGTGTGTGCATGGTGTGGGTGTGTGTGTGTGCGTGTGTGTGTGTGTGTGTGTGCGTGTGTGTGGTGTGTGTGTGTGTGTGTATGTGTGTTTGTGTTTCTTTGCTTTATCTTTCAGGACAGCTCTGGAATGAGGCTGTGGAAACGGAAGTGGTTTGTGCTGTCGGATTTCTGCCTGTTCTACTACAAAGGTGAGCACCTCGCCCTCTCTCGTACCCTCACCTGAGCCATTGGAGGCTTGGCCTCAGGTGATCCATTGTGTTTTTCTCTTCCTTATTTGCCCGACACGGCCTTTACCTGTACAGGCCTCACTTATGTACAAAAAGTCTCTCACAAGTTCACCTGCAAAGCAGCTATCTAACGCCCATCACTGCTGTGTCTCCTTCAGTCTGAGACATTATGACCCTTTTTAATGCTGAACAGTGTCGTAATGTTGATTGGCTGTTGTCAGAGTGGAGCATTGTGGTCACTGTTGATTGGCTGTTATCAGAGTGGAGCATTGTGGTCACTGTTGATTGGCTGTTGTCAGAGTGGAGCATTGTGGTCGCTTGCCGCTGATATGAGAATAGCCAGCAATGCCAGCAGTCTGATGTCTGCATGCCTGGAATCATTTAACTCTTTAGATGACTGTAAAATGTATTTGTCATTAACGTACAGTCTTTAGAGTATCCAGCACTGCGTAAAGTCTGGTCTGGAACACTCCGAGGGTCTCTGCCTCTATGACATAATCAGGCAAGCTGCTCCAAGCATGGATAACTGTGCAGAAAGAAACCTGAGATCTTTACACAAAGGTGCTGCCTGCTGAAGTGTGTGATCACACACACTTAGACAGAACTTTTGGACCGAGTGATGCTGACAGCTGATGATTCCTCAGATCATCTTAGAGTTGTTAAAAATCATCAGAAATGTTGCCAGTATTTAAGGTTTACAGTTTACCAATTAATCTTTTGTCTCTGATCGGCAGTACAGTTCAGTACAGTCAGGCAGGGGTCTGAGGGGAAAATAAAACCACAGGCGTTCCCCCCCCTGCACCCTGTTCCCATAATCCAGTTGGAATTTTACGGCTCGACGTGCACGCGATGCCGGTCCTCTTGTCCACAGCGCACGGGTGCTGGCAGGGTGCTGGGAATGTGTCCTTGAGAAGTCCTTGGGTGAAATGTGACTAATTACGCTTTAATCCAGCAATCTCTCCCCGCCCTCTGACCCGAGCAACGGCCCTGCAGAGCCAGCGCCAAATCAAACACTGCCGTGTTCCGTCCGCTATTTATAAAGGTGTGAACGCAGTGAGATATGGAGGCCTGGGCGGGGCATAGTGCTGCAGGGGCATGACCTCTGGACCCCAGAGGCCCACCCCCAGCAGAGCTCCTAAAAGGCTCATAGCATCGCATTATTGGTACCCCCAGATTCCTCAGGATGCGTTCGGTTGGCCAGGAAAGTTTCACCAATTTCTGCATTTGTTACAGAGGAATCACAAAGCATTTTTGGGCTTTGAAACTTCCCTTCAGGGATTAGCAACAGAAGTACCAATGTGTGATTGGTGCCTTAGCAAAGAGAATCCCTTGAAGATGCACATCGTTGTGCTACAATGAAGAGTGAAGTGGTTATTTTCTGGCCCAGGGTGATGATGTCATAGTTATGACCCTTAAAACGGGGGACCGGTGTCTGATGTTTCTGGTCTCCATGGTTCCCCAAACAGACAGTCGAGAGGAGACGGTGCTCGGTAGCATCCCCCTGCCCAGCTACGTCATCACTCCAGTGGAGCCCGAGGACCACATCAGCCGCAAGTACGCGTTCAAGGTAAGAGGCCCACAGCCAGGCATTCGATTGTGTTATACACATGTTATATACTGTTAATAAATTAGCTACACATCTCTTATACACATAAGGATATGAGAATGTAGCATAAGAAAACAAACTTTCCATGACTGACAAAGGCCTGAATTGGTTAATTGATTTTAAAATTATAATGGGATTTGTGAAAGTTATTGTCATGTTGCAGACACAGGAGTTTTCCTCATCTGTCTCACAGAGACGTTCACTAGTGTGCTTCAGGAGGGTAATTAACTGATAACACTGATGATACATGAAGCTGGCCTGGGTCAAACCCCCACTCAACAGCCAATCAGAGCTTCACCATCAACCAGTTACCCCCAAACTCAGCCAATAAGAGCTCTCAGACCAAAAGACCCTTCCCCTCCTCCACACTAAACAGCCAATCAGAGCCATGTAACCTCACTCTGATGGTGTTTTGTGTGACAAACTGGCCCTGTACACAGCTTCACACAGACAGGGCTGTGTAGGGGGAAACAGAGGTGTACAGAGACGCCCCCTTTGGGCCAGTGTAGGGACTGCTCATGTATCTGACTTTGCACAGGGACAGAGGAACAGAGAGAGGCCTGAGTTTGGCACATTTAAAGTCTAAACATGAAGCCGTGTCACATCTGTTACCTCTTTATGACTTGTGTGTGTGATGGCCACAGTACCTCCAGGGAAAGACCGACAGCACTTCACCGATTGAAATAATGGACGACGACGACAACTCTCCGCCTTCTCTAATTGACCAGTGATGTTGTAATGATTCTTCCCTTTCCTGTCCGAGGAATGTCTCGGATGTGATTATGGGAGTTATTGAGTGTTACTGACGAATGGCTGGGCAGGGAGCATCGATTTCTCTCTGAGGGTGCTCTGCCAGGAGTGCGTTACTAATGGCGATAGAGCCTGTTTTTCCTCCTGCATTGTGTCCAAGCCGATGTGTCTGCAGTCTCTTCATCTCATCCTTCTGCCATTAGCCCTGGCCGTTTCAGCTGCATGGCCGTACGCCCCCTCCGGTCCTCTCTCTGCTCCGGGGCCGCGCTGACCACGTACCTGAGAGAACCGCATGGCCTGCTGGGATTTCTGGCTCACTCAGTGGTGAAAGGCCCTCTCCAGCCCAGCTCACTCCCTGATTCTCTGACTTTATTGTGCAGTTTTTAAATTAGAGGAAGTGATATAGCTGAAAAATATCAGGATAATTGAAGTGGGCATTGATCAGACTGGGCTGATTACACGATCGGCCTGTCTCTATTGCTTTGTAATTTGGGTGTAATTTGGTTGTTGATTGTGAGGTGGGAATGAAAACCCAGGCAGCCCTGCGACTCTACAGCCCCAGCAACAGCTGCACATGTGCTCTGCGCTTCACTGGTCATGTGATCGTGAGTGGTCATGTGGTCATCATTGGTCATGTGATTGTGAGTGGTCATGTGGTCATCATTGGTCATGTGATTGAGAGTGATCATGTGGTCATCATTGGTCATGTGATTGTGAGGAGTCATCTTGTCATCAT